ATGTTAAATCTGTCTTTGATATGTCTTTAAAAGTAATAAAGATCAAATTATACATCAATTTAAGTTTTTGATCATTAATTTTTTAAAATAATTTATTATTTTGTTAATAGTTTCTTAATACTGTTCTGATTTGCACTGTTTTATAAATAATTTAAGCACTTTTAATTACAATTTTTATTTTGAAAATTTAAACATTAAGTCAAAAATTCAAGTTTAAAACTATGAATATATGAAAAGATCCTGAAGATTATGTAATTAATCTTTTAAATTTTAATATAACAAAGCTAATTCAAGACAAAACTCTATTTTGTTTGCTTAAAATATAATAATAACACATTAAATAATTCTCTAGATAAACACAAAACCCTTACAATATATTTTATATAATATAAGCATTTTTTTAAGAAGTTACTTGAGTCAATTCAACACAAATACTGTTAAAAAATACATGAAATAACAAAAATAAAATTTCAAAAATAACAAAAGTCAATTCAATGCAAAAAAAAACTTATTATTATTATTATTATTATAATATTATTTAATAATAACTAAAGCAGAATCTTAAAAAGTCATAGCATTAAAACTAGTTAGAAATTTTTCAATAAAACTCAATATACAATATAGTATAAAGTTGGTTTGTAAAATTACAAGCTAAAATTTTTAATTACAAAAGCAAATTCCTTACAAATATTCATTTTCTTCATTAGAATATATATAATGATAACAAAAGAAAAGTTCTTTCTAATGCAACATCCAAAAATAGATAATTAATTAAAAATATTGGCTTGTAACTTTCTTTGTCTGCACATTTCTAACTGTTTGCCATAAAAATTATCAGTAAAAAGTAGTTAGTACACGAGAAGAATCAATTTTCGTTCACTAATACTTTACTAGTAACGGTTTTGTCGATCAAAAAATCTGTCGATAATAATGTGATTATTGCATATCACGTGGATTTGATTAATTAATATATTAAACACCCCAAGGTCGTATGGTGGCGCCACTTGCCGGTACTGCATTTATAATGCTATGAAAATTTTGACCCTGCTTTGTATATTTGCATATTGTGCATATTGAACATAGGTGGCGCCACCACATGATCCGTATTTTTGAAGGCCACCCTAAACTTTGTAATTTATGAATGAGGCCAATAAACTATACTAATTCATTATCTATAAAAGATAGTCAGCCTAATCCTTTTTAAAGCATTTGAATGGTTAATATTTGGTTGTCCAAAATCGGCAGAAAAACTCCTGCGGTCAATACATATTGTAACGCACAAATTTCAGATGGTGGACATAACAAATTGATATATACTCTTTGTAAAATTTCTAATTAAGGAATTCTAGTAAAGTCTGTTATCGTAATACACGTACACACATTCGTTAGCATCTTCTGACTATATACAAGCCATTTTTGTTCAGCCTTTGCTTATTTCGTAGCATCAAACATGTCCTCTTCCTCAAAAGACATTCGTGTAGTGTGCGCGATAGGTTTGAAACTTTTAAATATCTTATACATATTTATTTGAAAACCAAAATAATAATGACTTCCCTAACTTTATTTAGACTTTGGTACAACATATTCGGTAAGAGTTTTAAAAAAAAGTTTTATATAATACATAAAATTATTTTACTGTTTCATACGTATAATATTTTAGGTAGATAAAGACCATAAATCATTACTAATAATATAACTTCCCTTTAATAGGGTTTTGCATATGCTCATATAGCAAGTCCTGGTGAGATCATAACTAACGAAACTTGGCCCGGGCAGACAGGACCACTAAAAACTAATACTGTTTTACAGTACAATGATGGTTTTCAAGATGTTGAATTATGGGGTTTTCCCGCTTTGGCACAAAAATATAGTCGTCGAAGGAAAAATGATTCAAAACCTGTCGAGTTATTTAAATTACATTTGATAGAGATGTCGGAAGATCAAAGGCCTACTTTACCAGAAGAATTAGATTATAAGAAAGCAATCACTGATTATCTTTGCAAATTGGGTAAATACACATATATATATACATATATATTTATTTTTATTTTTTTAAAAAAAAGCTAGACATTGATTTCTGAATAAATAAATTTTATGTGCTTATTTAAATATAATTGATAAACAGGTGAAGTAAGTACTGTAATCAACGTAAATATAATATTTTTGTTCAATATATTAAAGAAATTTTTTTCATAAATTCCTCATCTAGTTGATTAAATCGACAATTGATACTCGTTGGCCCCAAATTAAATTTTTTAAAAATGTATTAATTATTCTTACTGTTCCTGTGGAGTTCTCTGAAAAGAAGAAGGGTATAATGAAGAATTGTGCTTTTAATGCCGGACTAATTAAATCTATCACATCTTCTAATCTAAAGTTTATAACTGAACGTATGTATGTTGTCATTTTAATTTTATAAATTAATTTGATATAATTATTAATATATATATATATATATGTTAATTGTTTATAGCTGAGGCTGCTGCGATTTATTGTATGAGACATTTAAATGAATTTTCTGCTACAAAAGTTGGAAGTATGTAACCGGCAACATAAATATTACCTAACATCTTTATATTATTCTAAATATTTTTTAAATTTTAATAAACTTTTTTTTATATCATTATAGCTTCTTTTCTAATAGTAGATATAGGTGGTGGTACCGTAGACCTAACAATTAGAAAATTGTTATCAGATAATCAATTAGGTGAAATAACTGAACAAACCGGTGATTGTTGTGGTGGAAGTTTTGTTGATAAAGAGTTTATCAATTTTCTTGCTCGAAAAGTTGGTAAATCTGCCATGTATTTACTTAAAGAATATAATTATGGTATATTACAATACATGGTTCAAGAATTTTGTCGATCTGCTAAAATACCATTTACTGGTAATATTAAAGACTTTAAAACATTCGAATTGGATCTCGAGGAATTGTGTCCAGTTTTAAAAGATTATGTTGACGATAAGACTAAAAAACATTTGGAAAAATTAGAATGGGTGATTGATATTGAATTTGAAGATGTTAAGGCAATGTTTGATTCTGTAGTTGGTAGGATTATTCGTTTAATACGTGGTCAATTGGATGCATGTAAAGATTGTACTGCAATGTTTTTGGTAGGTGGGTTTAGTGAGTCTAAATACTTGCGAAAAAGGATCAAAGAAGAATTTAAAAAAAAAGTCTCTATTATTTCAAGTCCTGATAAACCTATTGCAGCCGTTGTTCGAGGGGCTTTACTTTATGGCCTCGATACGGCTATAGTAAAATCACGTGTATTAAGGTATACCTACGGTATTAGATCCTTACCTGATTGGCAGCATGGTGATCCAGTAAACCGAAGAACTCCTGATGGGAAAATCTTTCGATTTCATACCTTAATACAGCGCGGACAAAAAGTAGATGTTAATAAAGAAGTTTCCGATATTCTTCGTGTTGCACATGCAAATCAGAAAGATATGTGTATGGATTTATATGTTACACGTGCGTATGAGGCAAAATATTGTGATGAACCCGGTGTTGAATTGCTCGGAAAATTTACAATTAAGATGCCTGATAAACATCTTGGACTTAATCGCTCAGTTATTTACACACTTTTATTTGGAGAGACGGAGATTAAAGCCACCGCAAAGAACCAAGCAAATGGAAAAGAATATCATACCACTTTCGAACTAAATTTCGAATAGAATTTGTTTTGCATTCAATTTATTGACAATTTATATTTCTATAATATTGACAATTATAAAAACATACAGAAACTTTATATACTTATACCGAAACGGTAGTTGCCTTACAATACATTTTAGAATTCATACATGTTTTTCGATTTAGTGGAAAGTTTCCATTTTTTGATTACGTAGTTATGATGCACGACCTTTTTTCAAAGACATTGTATTATAATAAAATCCAATAATTATTCCTTTAACGGATTTGCAGGCAAATTTTTGATCAAAAATTGGTTTTGATAGTACAACACATCTAAATAATAGTGTATCTATCCCCTTTTAATATTATTGCCAGACAGACTACTTGCAAAAAAATTTTAGCCAGTACCATTTTTAATTATTTCTACCAGTACCCGCCTTTAATGTGGCGAAACAACCCCAGTAAATTCAAATCACGATTTATTATCGGACGTGTCGGGTTAAACCTGATAATTAATTAAAATTCCGACATTCGAAACCCCTAAATGGCACATCAATGACCTGATTAGATCATTTAGAAACGTCATTTTAACGGAGAAAATTATTGGATAAATTTTTGCAAGTAAATTTTCCTGGATCAGTGGGGTGTTCGGTCGACTAACTAAATCAAAACTATCCATAGTCGGTCCCACTTGTTTCACCGACACTCATTTCGTAGACACAACACTTCAATTCACCTGTTTCATCGACACTTAATACACCGACATGTTCATTTCACCAACGCTCAATTCACCATTATACCAGAATTATGTTTACTGCAAGGTTAGTGCAAGCTATAAACCTTCGATGAATTAAGCATTTCGGTCGGTGAATTGATTGTCGGCGAATTAAGGGTAGATTTACATAGCAAATAAAAATAAGTTACTAATAAAATTTTTTAAAAACGTACCAAATTTTTATTAAATTTTTAGGATATATAAATTAAAATGGTTTTTATTACGTATAATAAAATTTTATAATATATATTATTTTAAAAAAATTATACTTGTATATATGTTGTGCCTCAGATCCTTTCCCGCGTCAGATCGAAGATGACGCACCTCAGATGCCGATCGTCAGGTGAGGTGCGTAACTTGTGGATCGGTCACTTGAGGTGCCTCAAACCATAATATGACGCAGATAATCATTTAACAATAGTGATAGCGATGGATAATCATTAAATACGTAGTAAATGATAGTAAATGGTCGTAAGAACGTTTCAAAGACGTATTCAAGCAATTGAACGTAATTTGGTCGGAGCCAAATGGGTATATAAGTCTTTTGCCTAGGCTTCGTTTGTTTTTGGCCTCTTGGCTTTTACAAAAAAAAAAAAAATTTTACCTTTCTAGGGCTTGTTGAGCCGTTTAACCTTCATCAGTAAAAGCACCCTAGAACAAATCATAAATAATTATATACTTAACCTACCTGAATCAAAATGCAAAAAAGTTTTAATCAACCATGAACTTTTAATGAAAATAAAAACTATTTTATTAAACCTTAAAGACCACACATTATATAATAAAAACACTTACAGTTGGGCCAAAAGGAAATTCTGGCTTGAAGAGATCACATCAGGTGATTATGGAATAATTGAAAAAGAGATGGATAACCCTATTTTAGTAAGAGAGAAATTTTATAAAATCCTTTGTCAAATTCATGGTGAGGTTACACAATATGGGAGACAAAAACAGATGTGAAAGTTTGTGTATGAAAGGTGGAGCTGGATCAAACAGGACATTATTGAAAAGTTTGTTAATAATTGCATTGTGTGCATCATTCATAAACCTGCATTCTATCCTCTTGCAGCTAAGCTAATAATAGCTAATAATTTTTTGTCACACATCCAAGTAATTCATTACCTGTTTTGGATATATATATATTTTGTTTTATATTTTTAATTAATTTTAGTTTTAATTTTAATTTTATTTATTTTACAGATGAATCTAATTGATTTATCTTTTGATCCAGATAAAGAATTTAAATATATTTGTTATTTGAGAGATCACTTTACCAGGTTCTCTTGGGTGAGAGTTCTTACTTTCAAAAGACCAATTGAAATTGCAACATACCTCTTTGAACTTTTTTATTTACTTGAATCATCATCGATAATTCTACAGTCAGATAATGAAAAGGAGTTCATTTCTTAGGTTATTAAGAAACTGATTGAGTTATAGTTATTTGTAATTATCATAAATGAAAGGCCTTGTTACCTCTAATCACAAGGGCTTATTGAACAATTGAATGTAATATTGCAGCAAAAATTGAAAAAATGATAAGAAAATATTGGTCATAAGGATTGATCATTTGGCTTAAAATTTGTTGTTGTGGTGATAAATAATTCATGATGTCATTCTTATAAAAAAACACTATTTGAATTTGTTTATAGCTGTAAGCTGCATAGAAATAGTACCTTGGTGAATGAATTATATAGAAAAAAATTTTAAAATCAAAAAGATATTCTAAATACAGTTTAGATCAAAATTAATGATACATTAAATTTGGATGACAATATAGAAGACATGTTTTTTTTTTGTTTTTTTTTAAATTGATTTATTTGTTTATTTATTTATTATGTCTTTATTAATAATAATCTATTAGATCAAGATCTAAACCAACTTAATGATTTTGATGAATTTTTGAATAATGTCAATGCCAACACCAGTGCTAATACTAATGCTAATGTCAATGCTGATGCCAATGCCAATGCCAATGCTGATACCAATACCAATGCCAATATCAATGCCAACACCAACTTCAATGCCAATGCCAATACCAATTTTGATATTGATTTTGATGCCGATGCTGATGCCAATACCAATAGTATTTATTAAATAACTTAAATTCAGTCTTTGTTTTATTGTGTAGTAGAATTTAATTCTTCAAACCAATCTCTGAATTCAGTTCTAGCTAATATTACAAAACAAGATGCTAATGTTATATAATATAAAATTCCATAAACTATTGCTTAAAAAGATTTTTAACAATATACTGAAAAGATGACTAAGCAAATATTGAAGAAAAGAAAATTAAATAATTTTAAAATTGGGAACCTTGTTCGAATAAGCATTCCAAAGATAGATCAGTTTAGTATCGATCATCCTTTTTTGCTTTGTAAAATTTTAAAAGAAACTGGTAAGCAACAATTTTGGCTAGAATGTAAATTTGGCATAATCAATGTATGTTATCCTGCTAGTAAACCTGAAGAACTTGAAACTTCAACTTATCCTGAACTTGATACAATTCCATTAGGCAACATATCCATCTAAGAGGCATCAAGGCTCCAAAGTGTTGGAATGGTATCAAGCTCTATTTGCAGTTGTAAGAATTTGTATAATACTAATAAGTGTAGATGTAGAAAGGTTAAAAAAAAATGCACAAGCTGATGTCATAGTAAGCAGTCCTGTTCGAATAAAAATTAGTATTTAATTTTTAATTTAATATATAAAACAATAATAAATAAATAAAATATATTGCTTAATATGCTTTTAAATGAGTTTACATAGTGCAATAAATTTGCTAAATTACATATATACATACTATATTTGAAATAAAAAAAATGATTATATTTTTAATTTATGCCTCATATTACAACTGAGGCATCTCAAGTAACTGATTTACAAGTTACACACTTTACCTGATAATCAGCATCTGAGGTGCATCATCTTCAATCTGATGTGAAAAAGGATCTGAGACACAATATATATATATCATAAAAGCTTGGTAATAAATTCAAATTCTCAGTGATAGCATTCTGATTGGTTAATTATTATATAATTATTATATGATTGTTATAATAGATTAAATCTTTCCCAGTATTAGTATCACTAACAAAATTTTTACTGGCATGTGACTAATAAACCAATCAAATTGCAGTACTGTGTTTGTAAGAACTTTTGTTTTTTTTTTTGTCCATATTTTAATTTTTTTTTTGGTATTAAGGTGAGGCCTTGCTCATATCTTTATTAGTAATTTTAGTTGTACATATTAATATACTAT